CTTCACAGCACACGAGTACCCTGGAGGGTCACACCCCCCCAAGTAATCATGCAGTCAGGCAAACACACGGAAACCCAGCAATCGTGCACACATACGTTCTTAGAACTCTCAGCAGAATACGGGAATCTCAGCAAGTCGCTCAGTCCAGCGGCAAAACTCAGAAAACAGCAGAGTTCTCAGTCTGTGATTTTTTTTGCAGGTCATTACAAAAATAAATGACGATGCACTAAACACGCACGCATGAACTGGTAAGCGCAGAGTGATGGATATGGACTCGTTATGGAGCCAAAAGGTCACGTTTCTCAAAAAAAACAAAAAAAAAGAAAGAAAGAAAAAAAGAAAGAAAGAAGGAAAGGATTGAAGTCCATTGAAGTTCATTATAACTTCATAGGAGTTAAAAGCTGCTATCTTGATGCTGTGACAGATAAGCTGACGATTAGATAGATCCGTGATGCTGTGATCAAATAAACATTGCTGATCTGTTTGTTTTTTTTTTCTTTTTTTTTTTTTGCTGATGTGGCAGCTATCTTGCTCTCATTGACAAATATCCAGTCATGACCAAAGCTGTGACTTCCATGTTACTCAATGTTGTTGCAGATATCATCTGTCAGGTGAAGACGATTAATCACTTTGCTATTCATTATCTTTCTTCCCCCCCCCCTTTTAAGGGTTTTATTAAGTTTTTATTAGCTTTTTTTTTTAAAATTCCGCTCTTTTATGAAAGTTTCAAAAAAAAAAAGAAAAAAAGATTTTATTTAAATTTATTAGTAATTGCCAATTGGCGAATTGCCCTGCTGCCATTTGCTTCATTCAAGCCCATTGTCTTGCCTGCTAGATTCCTTGCCTCCTCCTCCTCCTCTCTCTGGCGCGCCATGCCATCTCCTTATCTGCTCCCCTTCCCTCCCCTTGTCTTTGCGCCCTCTTCTCTCTCTTTCTTTTTCTTTTTCTTTTTTCGTTCTGGGCCCCTCTTCTTTTGTTTTCTTGTGCGAGTGTTTTTCATAATTTAGACTTTGAGGTTCTAGCACAGTTTGTGAAGTACCGGTGTCTGTTTGATTTGAAGTTGAAAAAGAAAAAGAAATGATAAAAGCTATGCGTGGGTGGGAAAACAAAAAAGAAAACAAAAGAACAAAAAAATCGTAGTCGCAAATACAGAACTGTTTTGCCTCTGTTTTGCCTTTCCTCCCCCTTCTTTCACACTCAGCCTTTCTCTACAGAAAAAGGGGATGAAAGACATAACTCTATTCTGTATTTGGCAACTATTATGAGCAAGGAGGAATAGTACTCTATTTGCGTCTATGTGCAAGGAGGAATAGTACTGTATTTGCGTCTATGAGCAAGGAGGAATAGTACTGTATGCGTCTATGAGCAAGGAGGAATGGTGCAGAAAGATGAATGTGAGCAGGGAGGAACACCTTTCTCCACCTTTCTCCTTGCTCACATTCATCTTTCTGACTCTCCGGTGATTCCCTTTTCCCGAGCCCTTCTTTTCTGAAACAATTTATTAAATTATTAATGACACATACAACATGCCTGCCTCACACGGATATGCCATGGCGGGCAGAAGATGCCCGGGGTGGCGGGGGCACACGATGTGCGTTGAGGAAGATGGTGGAGAGAGAGAGAGAGAGAGAGAGAGAGAGAGAGAGAGAGAGAGAGAGAGAGAGAGAGAGAGAGAGA